TTTTACAGTTTTAGAGCCATCTAACACATCAATTGAAACTTGAAAACATGATAATGACCATAAGGATGATCAGGGAGCTGAAGCACCTCCCATATGAAGACAGGCCGAGAAAGTTGGGGCTGTTCAGCCTGGAGAAGAGAAGGCTGCGTGGAGACCTCATAGCAGCCTTCCAGTATCTGAAGGGGGCCTACAAGGATGCTGGGGAGGGACTCTTCATTAGGGACTCTAGTGGTGGGACAAGGGGTAATGGCTTTAAACTTAAACAGGGGAAGTTCAGGTTAGATATAAGGAAGAAGTTCTTCACAGTGAGGGTGGTGAGGCACTGGAATAGGTTGCCCAAGGAAGTTGTGAATGCTCCAACCCTGGCGGTGTTCAAGGACAGGTTGGACAGAGCCTTGGGCAACATAGTTTAGTGTGTGGTGTCCCTGCTCATGGCAGGGGGTTGGAACTACATAATCGTAAGGTTCTTTCCTACCCTAGCTATTCTATGATTCTATGACTTTAGATGGACTAGAAATAGATCAAGCTGAATGCTCATAAGTTTTAACACACTTCAGTTAAGGCTTTTATCGTCTCACGGACTCACAACCATCAGTTTAGGAACAACTCACACTCTTTACAATACATACAGTCTTCACATATTCTGCAGCAGTATTTTCCACTATTAAAATCTAGCTTGTTTATGAGATAACTTTTTTCTTCTTAATTAAGACCAAAAGAAAATTGTAACTTTGTGCTGAATCCTGATGGCCAGATCATGTAACATTCCAGATTGTGCTAACACACTTGCAGAATCGGTTTATCAGCCAGTACAGCATGTATCATCAATTCAGAATGCAGTACTTGACTGAGTTTTTTATAACAGGACTGGCAAACATCACTGGACATTCCATAACAGCAACTGCATGCTAAAACAAAGCAGAAATGGATTGCCATAAATTTTGTGAGATTTTTCTAGTAATCAAACACTATTTTACTAAATGAAGAGAAATAGCAAAGGGTTTTTCTGAGACACTGAATAATGTGTTCTGTTCTTTCCAAAGAGTCAGAGCAGAAGCAACTATCATATTTGTCTTTTCAAAAACATACAAAAGTACATAAGCATATTATAGGGAGAGTGTAAAATCCTGAAATATAACTGATAACTTGAACATCAGCAATTAAATCTTGTAATATAGAGGTATTATACAAAAATACCTTTCTTAATCTTTCAGGAGAAAATTCCAGACCAACTAGAAAGAGAGTGAAGAATACACCAAACTCTCCTAGTGTCTCCACCTGTACAATAGACTTAAATAACAAAACAAACAAACAAACAAAAGAAAAATCAGTGCACAGCAGTCTACTTATAATACAAGTTCTAAGTCCACTTTTAAAACATATAGTTTATTATTCTGTTTCCATAGGTAGTTCAGTTGCTGGTCATGTGACATCAGAAGTTCCCTCAACATCTTTAGAGTTCAAACATTTTTCCCATCACCTGGCTGCTATTAGATAATTCAGCTGGATAGTGCTGGTCACCCTAAATGCACATGCATTGATTCAGGTAAGCTTGCTTGCTTGGTGAAAATAAATAGGTTACAGTTTACACATATACTATTTAACCCCCAGGGTTTGCATTCCAGAAGTTACTTTTGGCTAGTTATTTTATTAGTCTGTTAGTATAATCATTCTGCTAGACTGCGGCTGCTGTTCTGCTATTCATCCTACAGTCTCCATGCACAAGTCTCTCAAACCAGCACAACTACCAGCCTTTCCACTTCAGCAATAAGGGTGCAACAGCAAGAAAAGTGGTTGTCTTCCTTGTCACAACAGAAAAATGGGGCTACATCTGGCTGGCAACTGGTCACCAGCGGTGTTCCTCAGGGTTCAATTCCAGGGCCAGTTCTGTTTAATATATTTATCAATGATCTGGATGCAGGAGTCGAATGCACTAGCAAGTTTGGTCATACCAAACTGGGAGGTGCTGTTGACTCTCGAGGGACAGGAGGTCTTACAGAGGGATCTAGATAGATTGGAGCATTGGGCAATGATTGATAAGAGGAAATCTAACAAGTTCTAATGCTGCACTCTGCACCTAGCATGGAGTAGCGCCAGACACAAGTATAAATTATGAGACGGGTGGCTGGGGAGCAACCCTGCAGCAAGAGATCTGGGGGTGCTGGTGGACAGCAAGCTCAATATGAGAAGCAGCGTGCCCTGGCAGCCAGAAAGGCAAACCACATCCTGGGGTGCATCAAACACAGCACAACCAGCTGGTCAAAAAGAGGCAATTACCCTGCTGTGTTCAGTGTTGGTGCAGCCTCATTTTGACTACTGCAGTTCTGAGCCCCCTGATTAAAGAAAGAGGTGAAGGTCCTTGAATGTGTCCAGAAGAAGGCAACAGAGCTAGTGAAAGGGCTGGAAGGAATGTCCTGGAGGAGCAGGCAAGGACCCTGAGTTTGTCTAGTTTGGAGAAAAGCAGGCTGACAGGTGACCTCCCTGTTTTCCACAGCTTCCAGAGGAGGGAAAGTGCCAAGGGAGGTGCTGAGCTCTTCTCCTAGGATCCAGTAACAGGACTTGTGGGAATGACTCAGAGCTGCACCAAGGGAGGGTCAGACTGGACATGAGGAAGCATTTCTTTACTGAGAGGGTGGTCAAAGCCCCTGGAACAGGCTTCCTAGAGAGGCAGTCAATGTGTCAAGCCTGTTAGTGTTTAAGAGGCATTCAGACAGTGCTTTTAACATGCTTTAACTTTTGGTCAGCCCTGAATTGTTGAGGAAGTTGGGCTAGATGATCATTGTAGATCCCTTCCAACCGAAATAGTCTATTCTGTTTTAAAACCCTAACACTTGTTTTCAATGTATTCACAGTCCGGAGCAGAAGAGGACAGGATTCATCATCAATCAAAGGAGTAGAGATGGAAACTATCTTCCCTGCCAGATTAGGATCTGTCTGCCTCCTCAGTTTCTCTGGCATTCAACATTTTTAAGACACATATAACTTAACCAGACATTACCATGCAACCTTAACATGTGTTCTGTTTTGCCTGCTGGCTAAACAATCTGTTAAGGCACACCAGACCACTAATCAAAACATGTGCAATGTCTCACCAACCACAGCCCACTGTTTCACATGAGTTTGTAATCAAGGTACACGTGACAGAGCTAAAAAGGTTCATGAGACTTCAGGAATGTCAGCAGGGGACGAGCAAGAAGGTGACTAGGATGGATGAAAGACCTACAGAGATGCAAAATAACTCTAGGAAGCCAAGCTATGCTACTCATGGAATTACTTGTTTTAAACACTTCCTCCACTGCTATCACTGACTTTTCACAAGTTTCTGAGTATTTCATGTCATTAAATAATTTAGCTCTTAAATCTGATGCTTTATGATTAAAGACAAAAAGAAAACAAACAAGAAAACCCCACAAGACACAACCTACAGCTTTCAACAATCACTTATGTCATGATTATATAGGAGAAAAATTCAAAACAAAGTGATTCTAAGACCTTTGTTTTAAGGCCTCCTTTTACAAATGTCCAGGTTTGGGGATTTGTTTTAAATACATCTGAGCTTGGCAATACCATATTCTTTTAAAGCTACTTTGAAAGATTTCAGCAAATGAAATCAGTCAAGAAGCAACTTGCACACTTACCTTTATACTATTTAGTCCTGATGGTCCCAGGAGTACTCCACAAATGATATACCCAAACATGGTTGGCAATCCTATTGTTGTGCACAGCCAGCCACATGGCAAAGACAACATTCCTATTGTCACAATATCCTAAATATGTAAGATTTACAAATGCATTAATATAAAACACAAATTTGTGATGAAATTAGAGGGGTTTTTTTATCCTTTTATTTCAAAGGATAGCTAGCACTGTAAAATTAAACATAGAATACTGCCTACGAAAAGAAAACACAACTTCAGTAAACTAACCTGAACACTTTGTTGTAGGTGTAAGCACTGCAGTTTTGCAGATGAAGCATCAGAGGTACTGACCTTCAGTAACTGGTAGCTTTGGGGACTTATGATTAATTATTAAATATTTTAAATACATTATAGAAAGTATACTGTTTCCTGGGGAATTGTGGGGAAAATCCACTTTGCATTAAAACAAAATGGTGAAATAGATCCATTTAGTTTGGGGGTTTTTTTGATTAAAAAAAAAAAAATCCAAATACAGTTACTCTTTACGAAGAACAAATACAATAAAACCCCATGTTCATGTGTTTTCCTGCATCCCTTCTTTTCCATTGCAAGGCATTAACAGGTAAATTCTCCCTAGTGACAACATGGAAGTGGCTTATCAGGCACAGCAGTAGCTTGTTTTAACACTGCAGTCCAGGAGAAGGGATGGCGCCCCAAAGGTGCAACAAGTTAAATCAAATAAAGCCAGAAAGGATTCATGCAGCATCACTATCAGTCTTGAGAAGACTATACTAGAAGTAGGCAACACATTGGCCAGATCACCAGTAGACATGGGAATCATGAATTTTAGGGTAACTTTAGAGGGGAAAAAAATGCTAAAACTGTATGCAATCCAACCAAGCAGTACTGGCATCAAACTAGTGGGACTAAATCTTACCAAAGCAAATGACAAGAATGTCTCTAAAAATTTTACCTTTATGAAATGATGATCAGCACGAGGAATGGTTGAATCTCTGGGCTTGGTAAGGATATACTGATTGTTCTGGGAATCAATAAGCATGCTAAGACCTAAGTCATCCTCTACTTCTCTTTTTGAAGCATTGCTTTTGGAGTTGGCTTCATCTTCTTCCACCCTTAAAACTGCTTCAAAGTTTACACCTCTTACCTGTAAAAAAATGGAGGAAGAAGGAGGAAGAAGGGGGACTATCAATGAAGTACACAGTAAAAAAAGAAAGACTATTAGCTGTGCTTAAGTTGCTCCAGAACTTGTTGACACCAACTATAAATACTGCAGTTTCTTCTTGGAGAACTCTTTCAGTCTCTTTATCAAAACTTGATGCCCATAACTGAAAAGGCTATAATTTGTTTTACATTTTAAAACCAAAGGGTTTTCCAGAGCTCTTTAGCCAAGTTGTCCAACCAAAAAATGCAAAGACAGGATTTCACAGCTGTAGAATTGCAAACCAGGATTTTCAATTGCATCCAACCTAAAATGTTTGTGGGGTTGTTTTTTGGGGTTTTTTTTTAATGCTTTATTACATTTAGAACACAAAAGGTTTGATTAAAATGTTTTTGTTCAAGAGAATAAAATGTTAAATGAAATTACAAAGTGATATTCAGTTCACAAAAATCTGATTGACTGCATTCCAAGTCAAGAAAAAGTCACTGTCCCATAAATTTTAAGAAGAGAACAAGAAGTTTCTATCTAGCTCTGTCTTCAGTGCTTGTACTTACAAGAAGTGGAAGACACTAGGATGATTTCATTATTCACTGAATTTTTAATAAGGTAGATTTTATAAATATTCAGAAACATTTAAGGTTGTTACTTCTTTTAGACTCCCATAAAGAGAGTAGGCTGTTGTCATTCCAACGACTGACGCCAAAACATTCACCTTTTCTGGATTACTGTATTTTGCCCAAGCAGCTCCCCAGTTTATTGAAGTACATTCGCATAAGCCATCTATAAAACAGCCTCCTATTTTCCTTTACTGACTCCCCAGCACGTTTCCCCTAACTGTTCAGAGAAATACTGCATTTTCAATATTTAACCTGCAATTTTTATCCTTTCCTTCTACTCCTTACATTTTTGTGTGCGTGTATAACTAAAGGAAAACTTTTATCATGGAAATGACCTCTTCCCCTGTTTCTGTACATCATGCAATATGATGGGCCTCTAAAGAATTGGAAGTCACTAAGAATCAGACAGAGGGAGAAAAAAAGAATTTGAAACAAATTATGAAGTTTGCAGAATTATTCAGAAGCATAAATAGCTGCTTCAAACATCAGCATTTTTAGCTGTTGGAGTGAGAGGCTGATGATCATTTTTATGCATTATGAAAGCTGTCTTTTCATCCTTTTTTACCCCAAATCTATCTTTTTACATAAATATATATAGTGCCTTTACCTCTCTAAGCTCCCCACTTACCAGGCTATTTTGCATTCTAGAATGAGGTCCATTGCCAAGTCTGAGACCAAACCATGTTTTCACATTTTCAGCTGATGGGAGAAAGCAGAAGCAGCTACATGCCATGTACATGCAAACTATTGTCACAGTATTGGAGCAAAGAAGAAAGGCTTCCCTACAGTCAGCAAACACAAAGAACTGTTTCTAACCAGAACACACAGTAAACACCCAATCCTACTGTTTTTCTGTCATCTTCACTTCTGACCCCCTGTCCCACACCCTTGCTGAGACTCCAAGGCTACTAAAACAGAGCTTAGAGGTTACTGTTAAATGTTGGCTCTGCAACACAAAAGATACTTCACCCCGAGTTTCACATTGGAATTATTTCACTGTTCAGTGCAGCGTTCCCATCTTGCAGAGGACTATTACTTTGCCTACAACCAAAATGCTAATAAGCCAACATCTGTCCTACTATCTTCTTGGGAATTTAATGTTACGACATCAGTGATAGTGTTCACTAAGCACAATTATCTTATAAAATGCCTCAGCAGTGAAGCATCTACTTTGAAGCTCTGGAACTCCAAATTCCTAAGGAGCTTGTTGTATGTTCCTCTGTACTTGGTAGCTTGTGTGCCTGGAATCTAACCAAACTTCTCTGCATCAAAATTAAAAATGTACCAAAGGTCATATGAAAACAGTGCAACTGGAAAATATTTATAAGATTAAGACAATTATGAAAAACATCTTTTTTCTGTGTAATATATGTAAACATAATACCTTATGGTACATATTTACTTTTACAAAAGCAAAGGGAATTGAAAAGAGACAGACTGTGCTAGATGAGCAAGAGTAGATGGCACAGGTTCAGAGCTTTTAAATACTAATAAATTTGAGGACATAATGGGAAATAAAATCCTGATTCTCTCTCAAAACAGGCAAACTCCAAAAAGCAGGTTGTACATAGGAGAAGACAATGCACAAATACTCGTCTTGCGTTTTAGGTTAGCTCTGATTATTTTTTTTTTTTTTTTACTAATTTCTACTTGATACACTTCTCTACTTGACTATATTGCTTTTGTATCTTTATCAGATTACTGATTATTCTATTAGAGTGTCTTTGTTCTAACATTCTAGTGTTCTAGCTTAAAAGAAACACACTAGCTGTTTCTTGCAAAGCTGGAGATGTAAGTAGTCCTCCAGCTTGCATTTCACGATTCCTTTTCTTTCACGAATAGAGATACAAGCAGAAAACCAAAGAGGTGCACTGGAGAAAAACGATGCGTTGGCACTTTTCCAATTAACAGGTGTAGCAGAGGAAGCCTCATTCCTGATCTCTTTAAAACGTGCCGTCATACCCCGGCGGCACAGAAGAGGGCACTCCAGCCAGCTCGTCCCTTTCCTGCTGTTGGTCTTACTAGGTAGGATTCCTACTGGGGGCAACTGCTGCAGTCTGGTGTACACAAAATAAAAAGCTGTTTTCACTTTCTCTCAATACAAGTACAAAAAATGGCCTGGCTCCCTACTAAAGGGCACCTGGTTTTCCTCCTCAGCAGAACTCAAGAGATAAGCTCGCCTTGGAAGTCAATCTGCACGTCAACAAAAACCTTTAAAGAGCAAAAGCCAAAACAAAATTGTGACCCACGTTTATATAAACAAGGACTGATTTAGAGTCAGTCCCTGAGGACAGCACAGTGGGACACTAGAATAAATTGACATGCTCCCAGCTCCAAATACACACTGCCTTACTTTACCGTCCATCATGCAACACAGAAAAAATGAACAATGCAAATAGGCCAAGGTATGAAAAGTCAATGCAGTCAGAAGCAAGCAACTCCCCAAACACATTGCAGGTACTTACCTTGAATAATACATCTTTTCCCAGACTGTGCAAACTAACTGCAAGGATTCTTGTTCTCCCATAACTTTCTCAACAAAATGAAAAGAAAAAAGTAGAGGCTACACTTAACACTGTAACTCCATATCCTGCAACTTCTAAATATCACTGTCCTTACCCACCACCACTGTGGTGTCATAACTCTCATGGGCTGTATCAGTGGGGTAGACTACACTTGTCATTGTCAAAGTGGCAGTCACAGGGAGGACTCTCAAATCAAAACCACAGAGAACACCAGCAAAAAGCAGGTTTTGCTCCCTAAGAGTGTTTAGGAGTTTTAGGAGTATTTGCTCACTCCTAAAAAGCAGCCATTCTACCACTAAATACTTTCTTTTGTTGAAAGGAAAGCAAAAACAAATGTAGAGTCAAATTTGAATTTTTTTTAATAGTCACTAGAATCCTAGCAACTACTTAATACAAGAGAAACACACCTACAATACAAACGTGAACTAAAGAATAAGTGCCTACCAACAAAAAGACAGTCTTAAACATCACTTACAGATTTGTTGTCATCAAAGGCATGCTCTTCTATTTCTTCTTCCAATCTATCAGCTGCCTTCCTGACATCTTCTAGAATTTCATCCAGCATTGACAGGCTTTTGTTTTGATGCTGCATGTTCTTAAGGGCTTCAACCTGATGTTTTTCTGCTGCTAAGAGCTCGACGTATTCCATTTCCTCCTGTTGAATTTTACAGTACACAGATAAAGTGCTGACCAGGCCTTTGAGCAGAAAAACATTTGACATAAATGTATGCTTCTTTTGATACAAAGCATCCTACAAGTGGAGCTGCAAAAGCAATGTACACTTTATAATGGTATTTGAAGATTGCTTTCTCTTGTGCCAGTTTTCACTGGGGGAAGTGGGCAAGAAAAATAACAGCGAAACAAAACATCCACCCATTGAAATTTCTAGTCCATTAAACTATAGAGCTGCCCCAAGGTTGCAATCCAGAAAATACAAGAAAGGAATTACTTTGAGGAACTCTAGGAAACATTTCAGAGCCAAGTGAAGTTTAGAGCTCAGTGCTTTAGCAGGGAAGCGTAATAACCTTGAAAGCATAGCTTTACTAGCTACAACAAACAAACAAATTGGAAGGAAAACAGTGAATCTTAATTTTATAAGCTATTTTGTAAACATGGGAAGAGTTCTGTTTATGGTTTTCCAAAATTACAATAACTGTGGAAACAGCTAGGAAAAAAAAAATAAAAACAGTTGGAAGAGTACAGATGAGCAGTCAAGCACACAGGCTGAGGTTCCTCTTTGTTTCCCAAGAAGCATTTTTCTATCAAAGGTAAAATACTTTGTCCATCTTTTCAGATTGGGCCTCTTATGAACTTGCACTAATGACTTCTAAAATCCACTTCTAGGTTTCAGAAGAAAAGAAAAAAATGCTGATGTGGTTCAACACGGAGTGAAAGTGTTTCAGTAGCTTCCCTGATAAAAGTTGGGATGTTTCACTTCTCTTTGGATATTTCAGGTTCAAAAAAAGAACTAAAAAATATTTACTGATCAAGTAAATATTGACCAAGACTTAACATGGTTAAGAAGACAATAACCAAACCAAATATGTTGTGTATTGACAGAGTATAATTTCAGGGTTGGGTTTTTTTGGGAGGGACAGGGGACTGGAGGGGGTAGAGCTTCACTTTACATGCCTACATAAGATGCACTGGTTGAGAGAGAGAACTATGAACAAGGAAACATACACAATAGAAGGCTTCCCATTAGATTCAGGATGCTGAGAATATTTCCATGAAAGACACCCTACATCTGTTCTTCAAAAGAGCCAGTTATCACTACCAAGGGAAAAAACAGACTGGGCAAAAAATACAAGCAATCTCTAGGTCAGCCTGAATTCCCAGAAAACACAAGTTTCTGTCTCTATTTTGGATGCCCAGTTAGAACTACCAGATAGAACATAGGTCTCCCTTAGCTTGTGTACTTTATCTGCCTACCCCACACAGATATCTTTGATAACCTGGGCATCTAAAATGGTCCCAAATTCCTATGTTTAGTAACTGGAGTGTTCCCTCCTCCACATGTTTGCAGATGAAAATTTTACTCCTTGAAACCTGCAAGAACATGTATATAAATCGCTTGATGCCAAGACAAGAGTATGTTCAGTACAGCCTACAACTGTGGCTTAACCCTTCTGAAACCGGGACAGTCAGATGAATACCTCTGGTTGTGATGAAACTACAGAATTGCTGTCTGCTGGTGTTTAGAATTACCACAGTTACACCAGCATGATGGAAATTACCCAGTTCCCAAAATAACTGAAGTTGGGAAAAACGTAACTATTAATGTGTTTGGCCCAATGTCAATTGCTTTAATTCTTATGCAACACATAAGCAAGAGACACAGCCACTGTCATACAGCCTCAAGGAAAAACATTTCCTATCTGTCGTTCTCCACTAGCAGACATCTCTTCAAAGATGTAAAAAACAGCCCCCATATGAGCTGCAGATTCTTTCCTCAGTCAACAACAACTTAGAACGCCAGATGGAATTGGTAAGGATTAGATTCTTTCCCCTCAAAAATGGAACAGATTTTGGGTGGAAGGAGCCGATCAGTCCTTTCTGTCAGCCAAGACAAACAGGCTGAACAGAGCTAGAGAAATAAGTAACTGCAGAAAAACAAATAATGCTCTAATTTGCAAGAAGTTAACTTTCTCTGTAGAGCAAGGTAGAAGAGCTTTGAAAAAAAATGTGAGTTTAATTATGAAGACCAAGATCTTTGTAGTCCATTAAAATGGCATCTGTTTTCACCTATACTGTCACAGCACAGAGTGGGACAATCACAGAGAACGGTGTCCATAAAAAGGACAAGCTAGCTCAAACAGCCTGCTATGTGTTAACCAGAAGTGCACTACAGCACACAGTTCTGCAACTCATGCTGGGATTGAAGACATCTGATCACAAGGTACATCCTGAACAATTGGTTAAGCAAGGTAATACAGATAAGGATTTTATACTAACAGGAGACTGGAACACCTAGAAACACATGAGCAAAATGAGGTAAGACGAAGCAAGACTTTGGGGCAATGCTGGTTAAGAACAGCGTTGCTGTTGCTCTTTAACCAGAGATGACAAAAAGCACAGTTAGAAGAGGATGCATCTTTGCACGACTTGTGAGTTATGTTTTCCATTAATGTCTGAGTAGGAGGCACCCAAGAAATTAGAAGCTGATAAAAAGTAGGTAAAATTTTGTTGTTTTTTCCCAAAGCTCTACACAGGTTCCTGGAGCAAAGGAAGGCAGAAGCTAACTTCACCACTTCTTCCTTCCCTGTCCCCCTGAAATGAGTCTGCTATACCTTTTCCCAGCAACAGAACCAGCAGGAAATGCATCAGACATGCATACATCTCTCAGCACTAAACAAAATTCAAATGCTTCAACTAAACAGAAATAAAATGAAGGTAAGAGTCCAGTACCCCCACAGTCATTTGCATTTTCCATTCAATCACTGTTTAAAAAATTGAAAGGATGTCTTACGACTACATCAACAAAGTAATCATTACAGTAAAATGAAACTGGAACAAAACTGGACCTAATGTGTGCCTTCTGAAGTAAAAAAAAAAAAAAAATAAAAAAAAATTATCCCATGTAATTTTCATCCTTTTGGCATGCATTTTCCCACTATCCTTCATTTCACTTTATATAACAATTGTTATTGTAAGGTTAGAACAACCAGCATTCTGTTTAAATAGCCATGCATATGACGTAAGTGTAAATGATTGCTCATTCAAGTAAATATCTTGATATGATAATACAAAAAAGCCTATACGATCCATCCCCACAGAAGTTAAGTTTTGACAGGACACACATCTAAACCACATCATTACACACACAGGCCTCCTTTAATGATAATCATAGAATGGTTTGGGATGAAAATGACCTTAAGATCATCTACTTCCACCCCCCC